TTTCTTATCTGTTGCTTGTGTGCATTAATATTTCGAGTATGTATATTTTGTATTTTAATATTAGTATTATGTATACTCTAATTTAAGATTTTGTTTATGTGCAATGATTTTAACATTTTTATGAGCAAGTCTCATATTACAATTTTGTTGCTTACCATTGCACTTGACATTTAGTGGACTGTATATACTTTTTATTTAATTTATTGTTTACATGTATATTTTTATGTATTAGTGTAGTTGTGTCAAAAATATAATTTTATATATATTAATTCTATCTTAAGGTTACAAAACTTTCATGTTCATATCTTTATGAACATTGAGCTTCTCAAACACACCTGAAAGTCGTTTTCTGTGGAATATGCAGATAATTATTTGCAAGTTTCCTTCAACGATATCTGGCTATAATAGATAGCTGTAAACCAAATATTTTCTATACTTACAGCATTTTCCCAATAAACGCTACCTACACTTTGAAAAACGAAAACTTTATTTTTTACACACTGCCAAATAAAACTATAAAAATATTAATTTTCATCGTACTTAGATACGATTTCACTATAAGTAGAAGTGGAAGGGCTAAGTTAGGGTGTAACCTAATATATTAGTCTTACAACTTGCAATGATCAAAGCAGGTAAAATATTTTCAGCTGTTGGGAAGTACTTTCAACATTTATTATTCTTCGAAATCGTGAATGTATCACAATCAAATTTGGCATTTTATCAAGTTTACATTTTTATTTCGTTCCAGCTAAAATTATATTAAAACACTCAAATATGATATAAATTTATTATAATAACGATATGAGGTTAAGACGAAAGTCTAGATCTACTCAATTGATATTAAAAATTAAACCTTTAACAAAATTATATAATTTCTAAGGGAACTTCTTCCCTCAATTTCATTATAATATACATGTTTGCCCAAAAAATAAGTTGACATTTGAATTTAAACTGCGCGCGTCGAAGGATTTGGAGAATTATTTTTTTTTTTTAGGTTGTTAGTACTGTCAGTCACATTTATTTTAAATTTCATGTCAAAATACTCATTAGTGTTTGAGGTACGTGTCGTTTTGTGAGCTGCTAAAAGTGAGTTTTTCGTTTTATGCGATGTCGAAATTTGTTGAGCAAAGAATTTGCATTAAATTTTGTTTACGGAATMAATTTTCTGCTGCGGATACGTTAAGGATGGTGCAGAAAGCCTTTTTTGATGAGGCTATGTCTAAAAAATGTTTATAAGTGGTATAGTGAGTTCCAAGCCGGCCGTGAACGTGTCGAAGACGAAGAGCGTCCAGGGCGACCATCAACCTCAACCGACGAAGCTCGCGTTCAACAAATCAAAGATTTGGTGTTGAAAAACCGCCGATTAACAATTAGAGACCTTGCTGGTGAAGTTGGCATATCGAAAGGCTCGCCAATACCATTTTGAAGGATGTTTTGGACCTCAAGCGCGTCAAATCTCGACTGGTACCGAAAACATTGAATCTTTTGAAAAAAACTCGTCGCGTTGAAGTGTGTGAAACGATCCTTTCCGACTAAAAGGGTGTCATGAAACGCATTATAACTGGCGATGAGACTTGGATTCATGCTTACGACCCCGAAACAACCGATCAATCGAACGAATATCGTGGAAAAAGAGAGGTGAGACCAAAAAAATCGCCCCAAAGTCGCTCAAAAATCAAGGTCATGTGGCCTGTTTTCTTCGATTATCGTGGTGTTGTGCATTATGAATTCCTTCCAACCGGTCAAATATATAATATAAGGAATATTATTTGAACATTATGCGTCATTTGCGTAACGCTATACGCCTTAAAAGGCCGGAAATGTGGAAAGAAAATTCTTGGTTTTTACACCAAGATAATGCACCATCCCATACTGCCCTAGTAGTTCGTGATCATTTCGCCAAAAACTCAACCCATATCGTTCCGCAACCACCGTATTCACCTGATCTGGCGCCGTGCGAATTCTGGCTGTTCACCAAGCTCAAAAGACCGCTCCAGGGACACCATTTTTATACGATTGGGGAAATTCAAGCCGCAGCGAAGGCGGAACTGAAGGTCATCTCGGAAAGTGACTACAACCAAGCTCAAAAGACCGCTCCAGGGACACCATTTTTATACGATTGGGGAAATTCAAGCCGCAGCGAAGGCGGAACTGAAGGTCATCTCGGAAAGTGACTACAACCAGTGTTTCGAAGATTGGAAAATCCGTTGGCATAAGTGCAGAATAAATAAAGAATTTTCAAAATAAATATAATGTCACTTTATTTTTTGGGCACATTTTAACCATCTAACGATTTAAAGTCAGGTTGAGAGTCGAAAATCACTATACTGGAAATACAGGGGTCTTGTGACATTAATTCTTGACATTTCTCAGGTATATTCGAGAACTTATTTTCAAGCATTTTTAGAGATATACATTTAACTCTCCATATGTCAGCATAATGTTTTGGTAGAATAACGAAATTCATTATACTACTATGCGTGGTAAGATTTTGTTCATAATTTTAAAAACTCTTAATTTATTCTTTAAAGTCTATGTCGTCCTCCTTTTTTTGAATCCTCTAAACAGATGTTAGAGCCAATTTCCGGAATATCCTTCAAAGCGAGTAGCGATTCTCGTTTAATATCTTCAATTGACTAAAATGTTTCCCCGGAGCGGACGTTTGATTTTCTGAATAGGTGAATACGTCACGATATTGTTTGAAAATTTGGTGAAATCTCTAGAAATCAAAGCAGTACGCGGCTGTGCATTATCGTGGTTCAAAAACCAAGAGAAGGCGGCCCATAAATCCGGTTTCCATTTACGAATAGCTTTTTGAAGGCGACGAATAATACTTGAACTGTATTCCTTGTTGACAGTTTGACCGGTCGGAGGAATTCGCAGTGCACCACACCTCGATAATCGAAGAAAACTGTGAACATAATCTTAATTTTTGGCTTCGGCTCACTTACATATGTGCCATATTCGGCCGATTGATTGTCTGATTGTGGTTTGTAAGCAAATATCCATCCTTTCTAATAATAAGTTTCATGTTTCAGTTTCTTCGGCTTTTTCAATGATGCCGGTAAGATCTATGACTGTTATCGTCGATTATCAAGCACCAATKAAAATTTATTCATCAGTTGATGTTGATGGCCGTCCTGAACGTTTTTCTTCGTCAACGAGTTATCGACCCTCTTTGAATAATTTGTACAAATCAAAAATACTTCCTCGCGACAGACAATCATCACCAAAGACCTTTTACAACGTTTCGGCACCAAAAATTTTATCAATAATTTCACTTGTCGTAAAAATAGTTTATGTACTCAACACTAATGATTATTTTGTTATGACATGTGGCACAAATAGTTATACCAACCTAGGAACCTAGGACTTCGACGAGTGGGTGAAAGGAAGGATTTTTTCCGAATTTTAAAACTATATCTCACTGTAGTTAACATTTTCAGAAATAGGGGGCCTTAAGTGGTTATAGTCCGATGGTGGTAATTTTTAGACTAAAAGTGGCATATCTTAAGGGCACTATTTGTTCAAAGTTTTATCCCGATATAATTTTTAATTCATGATCTATATACTAGAAAGTGAAATAATCGGATGGAATGTAAATATTTGTTATATGGGAAGGGGCCGTAGTTGAAATCCGACTTCGCCATTTTCTCACTGTAGGACATGATCATGATATACACTGGAAAGTGAAAGAATCAGATGGARTGTAACTTTGTTAGAGGGGGGGCCGTGATTGAAATCCGATTTCGCCCATTTTCTTACTGTAGCACTGTATTATGACATTAACGGTATGCACGTAATGTTATTGAAATTTTTCGAATACATTCGGAGATAGTTAATATCACTTAAAAGTGGGTGGTGCCACACCCAATGTCCAATGTTGACATCGGCTCTTATAAAGCCTTCTTGTACCAACCTGTATGTAAAATTTAGTGACTTTGTCTTATTTAGTTATTGATTATCGCTTTTTAAATAAGTAACTTAAGTAAGTTTTGTTTTTGTGGGCGTGGCAATGATTCTCCGCAGTACACCTGCCCCTCCCCCCGTGGGTCCGCCCCTTCTTTGTAGCAAAATGTTGCAGGAGTATAAAGATATGAAAATATATCTGAGTAATTTATGTGGGAAAAATCATTTACCAGTTTCTTTCGTCATTGGACGGTATTTTCACGGTATCAGGAAAAAAAATTTAATTTGTGGGTTTTGTCCACTCTAAAATTAGTATATACTTGTATATTTTATATTATTTTTTTATTTTTCTATAGACATTTTGTACGTTAATGGTATATCGTATTTTTCTTAAAAAAAAATTAAGGAGATGGCACAAACATCTCAGAAACAAACCCGTGTTGTTGCTCCCGTGTTTATTCCCAGTAATCATCTGGACCCATCTTTGAACAAAACTCGCTCCCGACGTGCTGATAAACTGCCATTGAAAACTTCAACACTATCTAACGACAAGGCTGATATAGAAATTATAGTAACGAATCCTAACTATCAATCAACGGCATATATGACTTCACGACCAAATACAACTCGTCACAAACTGCTTCGGGATTTAAGTCATACAGCGTTATCGTCAAAGGAAGAGATTTACACCGACCGTAGTGAATATATAGAGGTATGTTTTTTAGTTTCTGAAATTTTTTTAATTTCGAATGTAGAAATAATCGAAATAAAGTTCAGATAATAATAGTGATATAAAAATATTTAGCCTTTTAATTCCATCGGATTACGACACCTTTCAGTCCATTTCCATATATCCTATGAACCCATATTCTAAAAATTTTCTGTACAAAATGTAGCATCTTAAATTTCCAAGATGGAAATACMATAATTTATCTATTAAAAACCCAGTATGAGTCTTGGTTTAGTTGAGTCTACTGTCCTTTCTTTCAAGCGCATCTTCACTCTTCTTTTCTGTTCTTGAATAATTAATTATAATAATATTTATTTTTTACATTTTTTATAGCTTGAAAAAAAACGGAAAAAAGAGTATCAAAGGGATTTAATGGAACAAATCGTAGAAAAAAGACGTACTGTTCAACTTTTACGAGAAAAAGAACGTATAGAGGATGAAGCTTTAACAAGGTTATAGTAATTCTGGTATTTTAACAAGCACGATATGTAGAATTTGATACCTATGATAATTACAAAGCAAAAAATATATGTAAAAAATACAATTTTTTTTAAATCATATATTTTAGTTGCTATCCTTGTTTTGCTAAGTATGTGTAAGTATACTAAAGTGTCCCGGTTAGTTTTTTACTGTGTGGTAGTAGTACATAGAATTTATAAGACACTTGTTTAAAAGCTCAATATATTTGATGTATTACTATTAACTCTGCATAACTTTTAAGGGAATGTTTTCATGAAAAAACAAAAACAATTTTTGTTGAGCGCTAAATTTTGTATAAGAATGTCATGTTTTCGAAATCGTAGGTTTATTTGCTTTAACGCAAAATATCAAAAAATCCCATGTTCAATTAAAATTTACAAAAAACGAGCCATATTCCACGAAAAAAAATTCTTTATCAAGGCCAAAACTGAATCTGCGGTGACCGTCTCAATCAATTTGGGGAAAAAACGGACATCCTTATGTATACTTTAATTGGTAAARGTGTTTTGTCAACTAATATTTACATTATATTCATGAACTATTTATAATGTTTTGTCAACTGATATTTGCATTGCATTCATGCACTATTTATAATTACATATAATTTAAAGGCGTTTACAAGAGCAACTTAAATCAATTCATTTGGAGGAACAATTGGCCAAGGAAAACATTTTCACTGAGAAGGTATACAAATTAGTTATTCGACTTGGCCTTTGCATCAGTTTTTACTACTTTTTTTTCCGTGCTCAACAAAATTCGAAAGGATACGAAGCAAAATCGGCTCATGAGATCTCAACTTCTTGCTAAGTTAGAAAATGATGCTGATACGCTATTTGATAACAAAAGTTTCGAAAAACGGGAAATCCCAGTGGACACTGGCAATGGAAGTTTAAAAAATAGCAAATGCTATAAGAGGGGGGATGTAAACAAAAATAAAGTTTATAAATACTTTAGTAATTCAACTCGCCAAGACAGCCACCATTATAACAATATGAGCTCGTATACAAATATAATTCCTGCCGATAAACATTTGGCTGAAAAAGAATGTTTTCACTTGAGTGAAAAAATTTGCTCGAAATGTGATGAACCGTTAAAGAGCTATGAAATTTGTTGTCTATATTGCCAAGAACGACTTTATACAAATCAACCAGAACGTGGAGAAGTTCAATCAACGGTTAAAGGCAATGTCATTTATTGTGATAAACACAGTTCAAGAATTGACAGTTTGACATATGAAAGGGAGAATTGTAGATCTAATAAAAAATATACATACAATTTTGTATTAGTTTGTCTTAAATGTGATCGAATATACATAGCTTGTCAAAATTGCGTTGCAAAGAAAGCCGTTTGCCGAGCCTGTCATCGTAAACTTAACATTTGCATGAGTTGTAGACGTAATATATGCATGAATGAAATCGCTACGGGCCAGAATACGGACCGAATACATATGAATGATACGCAGGCTAATAAAGAGGTGAGAATGGAGTGTTTAAGTTTTGTAAATATTTATAATAAACAAAGGACTAGTTGCTCTTCTTAAACCCTTTAAATAGTTATTATTTGTTAAATTCTTCATTATTACAGGTTGAAGAAAACCATTTAAAAGGCGTGGATTCATTTCACATACTTAATTTAAATACTACTGCCTCAAATATTGCTGAAGATGGTTACAACAGTTCGTTAATTGGTACCGTTGCTAAAGATACCCCATGTCATCAAATCAAACATAATTTGGGGGATGAGAAGCCACATGTTCCTCATTTGGATAGTATTGAAGTAAAGTATTTTTATTTAGATGAAGACGAAAATTCGAGCATTGATAGTGTCCGACACGAAACGGATAAACATCTGTCTCGATACATGAAAAATTATGGTGATGTCGCCCGATTGTGGATAGACAAAGAATGTAGCAAAAGCGAATCTTACCATTGTGTCACACAAACAATAAATTCCAACTTGAAGCGGCGTGATATTATGCTGAAAGAAGAGCATAATTTGTCGATGCCATTGCTACGAGAAATGCCAAAAATGACGAGAAAGCAATTATTAAACTGTTCAGAAATGGACACAGCACATAGAAGACGGAAACTCAGTTGCATCAAGCAGAAGTGGGAGGTATGGCAGCTTTAGATATATCCATATTGTTTTAATTATATATGAGTAGAAGAGGCAGGTTCTGTAATTCACTTCCGAATGAATTTCCAGCAAATCCACGTTTATTATAACATTCTGCGTTTGTGAATGGACATTCATTCGGGTCTTCTTCGCCTCAAAGTAGTAATAGCGTCTTCGGTGCGCTCTATACAATGTCCCTGAGAATGCGTAGTCTCCACAAGAGTTCCAAACCGATTCATGGTTTTTCCAACTACTGAATTTTTTGTACGATTATGTCGACCAAACCGTTATTTTATAAATGTGCACAATTTGAATACATTATAAAATGGTAAACCAGCTGACGATATATCAATACAAATACAAGAAAAAAATATTTCTGGTAGGAATAGGGTAAAAACCAGTAATTTAGTTATTCCAAAGAAGTTTTCTTTAGCCTATTTTTTATCATGTTTGTATAATTTACAAAGCTTTCATTAGGAAAGTTTCTGGTGCTACTGGTGAGGTCATCTAATATTATAAATTCACATTAACCGCAACCAATAGTTCTTTCTGTATTCAGCTGATCTTCAATCGTTGCAAATATTCTATATACGCCCAATTTTTTATTATTATATTGATGTATCCATTTTATTTTTTGAATAATTTGAAATCGCTAAATTTTTTCGTTTTTTAGTATAACAAACCCAAACACACTCCGTTGTGTATATATTTTAATTTCAATTTTCATTCGGATTCCAGAACCTGCCTGATGATATAATATGAAGATATTTAAATGTAATACATGTTTACGAAATTTTTACGAATTATAATATTCTAGGTGCCAGCCGTAAAGAAGTGTATTATTACACAGAATCCTCATACCCTAACTCAAGTGGGCGCTATACGAAAGCAACTACAAGCTGAATGTCTAAGTAATGTGCAAATTTATTAGGTTTTATTTATCAAAGTAGTAATTTCTATAAATATTTTGGATAATAATTCAAATTTGTATTGACTGTATGATCTTTAGAAAATACATATACCATTTATTTTCTACCACAAATTTTTGTGACAACTTATATAAATTACGATCTTACTCATCAACATTTTTTGTTTATATTATTTTGTACCGTACATTTATTTTCATATACATATGTAAAAGGCAATCCATTTCTAGGTTCCTTACTTTTTAAAAGAAAAAACACACAAACWYTAAATATAATGGAGAATGTATCCTATAATTCTTCGAAAGATCATTCTTTGGCATTTATTTTTGAAGATTATCTCTATCAAAAGCTGGCCGCGGCTACATCTCAAATGATCCATCCGTTGAGTCGAATTTTCAATGACTCGTTYGAACAAATGTTTTGCTTCAAGGCGTGAATCAAAGCAGGATTGTCCTCATAAACTATAGACTTTACATATCTCCAAAAGAAAGAGTCTAACGGTGTGGAATTACTTGCTCACCGAAGTGTTCTCTCAATAAATCCATTGATGTATGTGATGGGAGAGAAGTGGCGCCGTTTTGTTAAAATCAAACGTTGCCAGATCACGGACTTCAATTTCAGTCATCAAATAGTCGATTATCATGGCGCTATAAAGTCGCTATTGATAATCGTCCTCATTTACGAAGAAATATTAACCAATGATTCCACTGCCCAACAAACCACACCAAACCCTTGTTTATTCTGGATAAAATAACAGCTCTCTTTTTATGGAAATTTTCAAAAACCATAGATGGAAGCGATGTCGCTTGGGAAGATCAAGCGGCTTCAGGTTTTTTATACCCTGAACAGAGTTTATTAAGTTTGTCACGAAGTTTGTAACATCCAGAAGGAAGGGTCGGAGACCCTATAAAGTATATATACAAATGATCAGTATGTCGAGCTGAGTCGATTTAGATATGTCGGTCTGTCTCCCCGTCTGTGTGTCTGTCTGTCTGTATATATACGAACCCTAGTCCCTCAGTTTTTAAAATATCGTTTTTAAATTTTGCAAACGTCATTTTCTCTTCAAGAAGCTACTCATTTGTCGAAACTGCCGATATCGGATSACTATATCATATATCCGCCATACAAACTGAACGATCGGAATCAAGTTCTTGTATGGAAAACTTTCACATTTCACAATGTATTTTCATAAAAGTTGACACAGGCTATTTTCTAAATCAACAATGTAATCTCTGAAGAAATTGTTTAGATCGGTTAACTATAGCATATAGCTGCCATACAAACTGAATGATCGGAATCAAGTTCTTGTATGGAAAACTTTTACATTTGATAAGATATGTTCACCAAATTTGGTATAGATTATTTTCTAAGGCAACAATGTAATAACYGAAGAAATTATTCAGATCGGTTAACTTTATCACATAGCTAACTTACAAACTGAATGATCGGAATTAAGTTTTTGTATGGAAACATTCACATTTGACAAGATATAATCACGAAATTTGGTATAGATTATTTTCTAAGGCAACAATGTAATATCCGAAGAAATTGTTTAGGTCGGATTACTATAGTATATAGCTGCCATACAAACTGAATGATCCGAATCAAATGTGTGCATGGGAAACTTCCTCGTTTGACGATATATCTTCACGGAATTGGGTATGAGTTATTGTTCATAGAAATACTGTAATATCTGAAGAAATTGTTCAGATCGGCTCACTATTAGCATATAGCTGCCATACAAGCGGGACGATCGGAATCAAGGGCTTGTATTCAAAAGTTTCGCATTTGACGTCGTATCGTCACGAAATTTGGCATGGATTACTGCCTAAGGTAACCATATAATCTCCAAAAAAATTGCTCAGAACGGATTACTAGAGCATATAGCTTCCATACAAACTGAACACGTAGTTACAAACATAAATGAACATGTGAAGGGTATTTAGCTTCGGTGCAACCGAAGTTAACGTTTTTTCTTGTTGCAAGCTATATTTGAAACAAGGTTGAAATAAAAAACTTGAGATGCTACTTCTTCCTTTATTCAGTTGGTTCTTAAGACTGACTTAATTTTTACATTGCTTATTAGTTCACTTACTACTTATCCTAATGCTAACTGTACTAACATTCTTTGTTAGTTCGCTTCTAATATTAGGATTAACTATTTTAGCATCCCTTATTCGCTTGTTTACTTATACACACCTGCTCAAAATAATAGTTACACGATAAAACTTAGTACTCTCAACAGTTTAAAAAACTTTTTATGGGCTGTATGCCCAAGTTATGCTGTAAGTTTAATTAAGATAATATGGCATCGTCTTTTCTAAGAGAATGAAGCATGTGATCCCCTGAATTAATGCGTGTGTCAGTTTTGCGTGAATTCTCAGAAAATAAAATTGCTTAATATAATAGTTACACATAYGTAAATGAACTTAGCTTTTTGTGAAAACAAAGTTAATTTTATCCAGTTTAACAAGTATTTTTTTCTGAACTGGCAAGTTTTCTTTCATTAAAGCTCAAAATGCTGCAGATGAATTATATTATTTTTTAATCAGATGGGTCGGAAGTCACATTGCACTGTTGAAGAAGCCCGGCTGGTTTCAAACCTCAAAAAGTAAAGAAAATCGCGTCGGGAAATTGTGAAATTAATGGAAAGGTCTCATAATTTTGTTAAAAATGCTTTAGAGCGAAAATCTAGTAGGGAGAAACGAGTACAGTTCTTGATCGCCTTATTGTAATTATTTGTAAGAAGACTGATAAAGCTGCCAGCAGCAGAAATTGGAAATGTAGTAAGTGCCCAAACAGTTCGCAGGCGTTTGCAAAAAGCCAAGCTACCAGGACGTATGGCCAGGAAAGTTCCATGAATGCGACCAAAAAATTTAGATATCAGGTAAAAAGTCATTTAGATTGGTCAGGACCTGAGTTAACAAAAAAGTGTAGAAACATTTTATGGAGCGATGAAACGAAAGTAAATGGGTTTGGAAACGATTGTGAGGGAAATGTGCGTCGAAGGAAAGGAGTTTCACGTTCGATTTACAAAAAAAAAAAAAAAAAAAA